TATGTGCTTAAATACACTATGATATATGTATATATGAGTTTTGGTGCAATATATGTTCAAAATCAGAATTCAAGTGGCTTTTTTTTCTTCAAAAATGAATGTGAAAGTTTGCATGCTGTCAGTGTGGGTTTTCTCTGGGTACTCCGGCTTCCTCCCACAGTCCAAAGATTTACAGGTTGGGGACAGGTTAATTAGTGACTCTAAATTCCCCATAGGTGTGAATGTGAGTGTGAATGGTTGTGCGTCTCTATGTGTTAGCCCTGCAATAGTCTGGCGACCTGTCCAAGGTGTACCCTGCCTCTTGGCCACTGTCAGCTGGGATAGACTCCAGCCCCCCGGGACCCTCAAGAGGATAAGTGGTTACCAAAATGGATGGATGGATGGATGGATGTTTTCATTAATTTATAATGACCTGAAAATAAGAATTGTTCTGTTTTCACTTCTGTAAAATGAGCCTTTTATATCTACATACACAGCGGGTCCTCTTCCATGGAGTCCACCATGTTGTTTCTACAGTAGCGCTTAATGGACAAATCACACACTGGCTCTAGGTAGAGCCATTTGTGTTTTCACATTTTTGTTTCAGCCACCATAGTTCTTCACAAGACTGGCACACAGAGGAAGTTTTGGTTCTGCAACCTCACCACTTGAGGCCACTTTCTCCTACACAGTAGGCCTTTAACTGTGTTAGCAGTGTTCAGTAGTAATGCACAGTCACAGTCCGGGCAGTTCTCCATCTGATCAGCATCGAACCAGTTATTAGGTACCTGATCTTCATTGACGGTAAGTTGTTTCCAGTATTTGTCCCCCAGCAGTTAGCCTCATTATTGATCATTTGGCGGAATGTTAATAATTGGATGAGAAGTGATTTTAAAGAGGAACTATCCTCATTTTCAAAATTCATACATGTTGTTCCCAAGATGGACCAAAATTATTAGTAGAAAATTAACAATTCTCTCCAAAATCCAAAAACTAGAGTGCTAAAACTCAAGTTTGTGATGTCATAGGTTATAAAGTCTGAAGCTGCTCCATAGATAGTGAATTGGGGAAGATGTTCTGGATGGCAGTGAGAGCACCCAGAGGACTGTTCCGAGTATATGAATACAGACAAACAATGGAAAAAAGTTCATTTGGGTCCAGAACAAACAAACAAACAAACAGACAAACAAAACCAAACATTCTGTAGGTCCACAAAATCAGGCTCCCATTCATTGTCTATGGAGCAGCTCCAGACTTTATACCCTGTGACATCACAAGTTTGAGACTTCTCTACTTCTCTGGTTTCTGATATTGAACTTTCAAAGTTCAAATATTGAACTTTTCTAGGCTGTGGAAATAACATATTGGAAGACGTAATTTAGGTGATGTTCCCCTGTAAAGTTTTCAAACCCTCTTCCTGTTTGTACTGAAAAAGATATGAGAAGCTTTGAGGCATTGACTGCAGTAATGACTGTCACACGAAGCCTTTTGAAGCTTTTTGGCCTTTTTTCTTGTTTGTTCTTGAAGAGTTGTTCTCAGCTTCAGGGCATTGAAAACAGAAAGGAAGGTGATATCTAGTTTGTAGAAAGGCTGAGGCACTGGTGCAACACCTCACTGATTTCATAGTTTCAATCCCATGTGTGTGCAAGGGGTCCCCAAAGGCTATATGATGATAATGATGATAATGTTGATGCATTAATAATGTCCATATGGCTTTCACGATATGTCCACTGTGCAGTATGAGATTTAAGAAATTTACACTAAAGGAAAAAAGAGTTTTTTTATTATTTTTCTTTAATCTCTATAAAGAAATGATATTAACTGCACTGTGCTGGGTTTCAACTTCTCTAGCTTCTTAAGACTCTTCAAACAACGTTAATCATGTCATATGGTTGTCATTTAAAATAAGCATTTTTCCTAATGTATCAAGCACTTTAGAGAAGTGACACAAGTTACGGCGCCTAAGCTCACCCTTGTGTATAGAGTACCATCGAGCAGCCAACATGCCTGTGTGTGGTTCTGGCCCAGCTGCTCAGTTGTTTCATGGTTGGGTTGGACTGGCGTCTATGGCTGCCAAGAGCTGCAGACCAGTGAATCCTCCTACATTTCACAAGCACAAACATTTATCCAGAACAAGGAACACATAACAAGATGGAGGAGAATCTCCATCACAGCATTTCATTCAAAATAACTATTGTAGTAAAAAGAAAGGTCTGCTGCTGTTTGTCACCACAGCCCACATTTTACAGCATAAACTGATATTCATATCACGGGCATTGTTTTAAGTTCTAGTCAAGATCCAGACATTTTCAATGAAACAAAATGCATCAGGTTGAGTTGTGGGGAAGACTGAAAGAATACACAAGACAACTAGAATATTTATGTTTGGTTTCATGGTGCATAGGTGTTGATTTCCACGTCCCCTCAATATGTAGAACATGTGCATTGGAATGTAACTCTGACAAAGTTAAAACCATTTACACCATAACCTGATGCAGAAAATGTGGAAATAAGTGCATCAAAATTCACCAGAATGTAAGTAATGAAGTGTTTGACGCTTAACATTTTATGGCACAGGACTCCCAAACCCTCTATTTCATATTTGCTGAGACAAACCCTAGGCCTTTGCTTGAATGCATACCTTTTACAACCTGGGACATTATAACATACTGTCTAATTTAATAATTTCATAAAATTCAGCACTCAACTCCCTGCTTTTTCGCAAACTATTTGTTTTTAACAATGTTCTGGTGTCAAAATGTCAAAAAGGTCGTCAGAGAGCAGGACAGGACATGTGTAAGTTATATGCTGGTGAGTGGGATGTGAATTTCTTGTTTTCCTGTTTGGTCCCGTGAATAATCAGAAAAAGATGGTTTATGTTAGATTATACACACAGTACTGATGGTGCAGCACCTGGCTGTCACGTTTAATGCAGAGCAGCGTTCTCTTTGATATTAGAGGCTTTTGATGACAATAGCTCTGGAAATGAATATGCAGGGTACCTGAGGCCACTGATGATGAAGAATTCATTCTTGTACCATTTATAAATCGTGTAAAAGCAGAACTGCAGCACCTGAATGATGAAACTAATCCAGATGACGTGAGCTCTGAGCGAGACACTGTCCAAGCAGTAGACCAAAGAGATGCCTGGACTGATGAGGGAACGTTCTTTAGTTACCTCAACCACCATGACCTTGGTTTTATAAACATGCAAGTAGTTTTTCTGTCCAAATTTCCAACTTTGGAAGCCAGACAATCTCAAAAGCATTGCGCTTTCTTGGAAAAATCTCGGCCCTCATGTGTTCAGGCAGTGGCTGGAGAAAAGAAAAGAGGTGCCACAAGCTCCAAAAGCTAATGGCTGCTCTAAATGTAATTTAGATGTCTCTTAAATGTTTTTTTCCAGAAACATCTTCAGCTAATAAACTCCTACTAAAAAATGCTGGAGATGCCACATCTGTCTCTAACAGTGGAACGGTGCACTCACAGCCATGTTTCAGTGATTACTGGCTAATTTGTGTATGGTATGTGAACATGAAATATAACTACACAGACATGATTTTAAAATATATGTATACTGTATCTATATACGGTATGACTTAGTGTTATATAAAAATACTCTGAGTAATAATCAGGGGGGGCACCATCAGGAGAGGTAAACCAGGCAAATGTTTGGGGCCATCCCCAAAAACTTTGTGAAAATGGGCCCTTGATGGCCACTGTTATTAGCACATTTTGCAATGAAAACTATAAACCCACATAAAGGCACCATGTGCATTACTGCTGTGCCAAAACCTCCATAGAGACCCCCTTCTTGCCATAGTATGACAACTAGATACTGTTAGGACAGTCAGCTGCCTGTAACTGTCATATATACGATGTTAGGTGTAACTGTCATCACAACTGTCAAGCCCTCGATGGGCTTCTCTGCCTGGGCCCCCAGAATCTAGGATCACCACTGATGTGGTTTTTCCACAAAAAGTTCAATTCCCTTTTCCTCATTGAAAAATCGACCTATGAATATGCAAATGTTGTTCATTTCAAAGGTTACACTTGACACAGTGCTCATACATATTCTCAGTGTGTGTGCACTGGTGGCTTCATGTTTCTACACTTCCACACTTCAGTAAGTTGAATATTGGTTAACAACTGGCCTCTAAATAGCTGTGAACAACACTTTACTCCCTCAGCAGATGAATGTGAAAACAAACAGTAAAGTAACAAAAAAGCAAAACACATTTTTAAGGTAAAAATACAATGAGGGACTTCCCACATTATAGCACAGAAATGATCCTTAAAATAAGTGTGTAGTGGCAAATGCACCATTTTTTGTTTATGTTGATTTGTAATGCATGGCTCTGTAAAACATCCCCAGATGTCAGTATATTATTGAACGTAAAATTAAATCTGTTTGTTTTGATGAATCCCTCTTAAAAAGGTAGGCTGTGTCCTTTTGACCCATTTACTTAACTGGTCAGTGTGTACTCGATGACTGCGTTGGTGGTGACATGTTATCTGAATGATCTGAATAACTGACCACTTACTTAGAAATGTTATCAGCATGCGAACACTTACTTAGAATATCATTTTTTAATTTATCCTGGGGGGGGAAACAGCAATGACTGATGTGTAGGCTAAGGACTAAATTTGGAAATAGGCTCGTGCCTTGAGTAAAGCCAGAGGTGTGTCCATAAAAATGCGATTACCGGAGACACAAATATTACATAAATGATGGGGCTGGTTTGTGTGAAGCGCAGACATGGCACGTGAATAATAAACCTGAATCCGTCTCTTTTCCGCAAAAACATCTCAAAATGTGAAATTTGACAAATGAATGATTCAACGCCCTGCTTTTATTTCAGTGGGGGAAAGTGTGGATACAAAAGTCCTCTCCTGAATTCACTTCTCATCAAACCCAACTTGTGCGCCTCTGACTCTGAGGATCTCAGTTTAGGAGGAGTTTGTGACTCCTGTAGCTCTTCTAGAAACCTTTACCAAAACCTTTTTTTAACCACAACGTGAGAGTTACACAGACCTTTGTCGTGCTAAGTTCGATCTCTCACCTTCTGGGAAATGAGCCAAACTAACCGACAGTTATCTTGGAGCAGAATGTGGCCAGGGGGGGAGATAATAAAGACAGTCGGCGGTGTGAGCGCTCCCAGCATGACGCTAAAAACCGAAGAAAGTCGGCTCTATTTCAGCACAAACTCAGCGGGGAACGGCAGTCTGAAGGGACCCGAGAATGCAGACGCAAACATTTACAACTCCGGACACATGAATCTGTTCGCCTGTGACATGGAAAAACACTGCTGTCAGACAGCTGCTGTTCCTCAAGAGGAATTGTTAAACGCTGAGTGCCGTGTGGGCGACAGTCGCTCTTTTTCTGCCTGCGCCACAATCTCAGAAACAGCCAGGGAGCTCTGCAAAGCTGTGTCCGTGTCACTGGGACTGGCCATGGAGTCCAATGACACGAGCGACCCGGACGCTACTCTCCCCCCGTGCGCCGCAAATGACCACATGCGAGGGGAGTATTTGTTCGGAGTAGGAGCCGTGCCTCTGAGCTGTCCCGGAGCCCAGGCTGCTGCCACCGGGTACAAGTGCCCCGACCGAGATGACCGGAAGCAACTGGTTGAAATGTTCAAAAGTTCAGAGCCTGCTGCGCGTCTGCAATATTTTACCCCCACTCACTCATCCGTGAATGAACCAAACTTTACACTCTGCGAGGCTGATGACATTACTTCAGAAGAGATAGATCATCAAGACACAGCGGGAGCTGTGTCTTGCTCTTATGCTCCGTCCGCGCCAGGCAGCTTGGCACAGTTCAGCCACGCGGGAACAGATCGGCCGTGCGGAGTCTACGAGCCCCCAGATGAAGCGAGAGAGTTCGGGGAAGCCATGGAGAACAAGTTTGCTGGTTATCAGCCAGAACAATACAGCGTCAAAGTCAAATGTGAGGACGTCGGATCTGCCGGGCCGTTGTGGAGCAGCAAGTACACCTTTAACGAGAGGTACAACACTCAGTGTTGGAGCTCCAGGCAGTGCGCTACTGCGCACAGCACAGGTGCCAACACCGCGTTCGTATCTAATCCATATGAGAGGAGCGCCATGCGTCCTGAGCAGTGGTACCCTGGCGGGATGCTGAGGCCGCCTTATCCCAACTCTAACAACGTGAAGACTGAAGTCGGCGAATGGCTGGATGTCACCTACGATGACTCCAGGTAAGATATAGCCTAATTATAGACTAATAAGGACAATAATAATATTTGTAATAATAATAATGATGATAGAAAAATAATCTTGCCTTATGTGGTTAAGAGTCTGAATTCATGCTTAGGAAGCAGGGTAGGGTGAGTTTGCTCAAACTTGTAGAAGATAGTGCAACTAAATTTACACTCTGATTCCAACATGTCTCCAGAGTGACCACAGCCTGACCTTAATCTGACCCCAGACCTGCGTGTTTAGAGTCTGTCAACTGTAGAGTTACTCCCAAATGATTTAGATGTTTTTGGCCAAGTGTGGATGATCAGTCTGGTGGGCAGTAATGGCAACAAAATGAAACACTTTATCATAATGTATCCCAAACTTAATGTCAGATACAGATAGATTTTTAATTTCTTACAGACAGCTGTGTCAGGTCTTCACATTTTGATGTTTAAATGACAATGAAAAAAAAAAAACATTTTACCCTTATTTTTTTTCCAGTGAGAACCCAAATGTCAAACTAAACAGTATATTTTATGGTATTATCAGGCTGCTTTCAGTAAATTCTTTACAAATTAAAGCTCATCAAACCAAGGCTAGCCTGCACTTTGAAACAGACGTAGAAATATATTTGGCTGCTTCGCATCCTTGACATTTAAGATGCGTGTGTATACACATGACTGTTTAGACACTTTCGACTTTAAAACTATCATCGAGTCTGCTGACAACACAGCTGTGACAGGCCTGATCACAGATGATAAAAAAGCCCATCTGTAAGGAGAAGAGGATCTGACCTGTTAGTGTCAGGACAACAAACTACTCCTGAACATCAGCAAAACTGAGGAGATGATGGTGGACTTGGTAGTTAACGGGTCCTTGGTGGAGAGGCTGGACAGCTTCAAGTACCTCGGTGTCCACATCACAGAGGGCCTGGTCTGGGTGCTGCATACTGACACTGTGGTGAGAAGGGCAAGGCAGAGACTGTTGCACCTCAGATGCTCCGCTCAAATACTGAGGAATTTGTACCCCCGCACCATTGAGAGCGTCCTGACGGGGAACATCACTGTAAGGAAACAGCACCAACAGGACCACAGGGCACTGCAAAGAGTGGTTTGTTTAACTGAACATACAATATCTCTACCCTGCATAAAGGATGTTTACACAAGGCGCTGCGAGAATACGGCCAGGAGAATCATTAAAGATACCAACCAACCTCATAATGGCCTTTTCTCCCTGCGGAGGTCAGAAGGAAGGTACCGGATACATCATGCCAGCACTGAGAGGCTCAGGAAGAGCTTCTACACTCAGAAGGAACATGTTTACATTTCACTGGAATTGTACTTTATACAATTACATGTGACAAATAAAATTAACTGATTGATTAAAACAAAACTTGAGTGAAGTTATCCAGAAAGATGCCTCTACAAGTTTGCATTTCCCTTCTCTGAGTTAGTCCAATCTGTGATCTATATTTATTTATCATACAGCTGTTTGGATTTTGTTACAGTCAGTTTTTCTTGGATTTTTTTTAAATAGAAAGATAAGACAAAAAGTCAAAATAAATGAACCACATGGCTTACTGTAAAAATGCTTCCCCTTTATTTAGCTATTGCTGCAATGATCTGCTGCTTTCATCAAATATCTCCTCTGCCATGAAGCAGCACCTGTTGCTTTTTCTCTTGTTGCTAGTCACGGGGTGTGTACAAGGCAGCGAGGAAAAGGACCCAAATGCAGACAGGAGCAAAGGAAAGCAAAAGCGTGACAACATTGCCATTCTGGCCAGAAGCAGGTGGAAATGGACCGGTGTTAATGTCATGGGGGTTAACTGGGGAGTGACAAAGGTGAGTCAGGTGACAGAGTCAGAGTGGTCTGGGGTCAAGTGAGACATGGTTGGAGATAGGGACAGAGGGACAGCCTGAGCAAAAGTAAAAACAACTGAGGCAGCCGACATGACACTGCCGTGGAGTTAGGTCTTAACTGGAAGAATTTGTGACTCAGTATTTGCAGAAAAAAGTGCAGTCGATGAATTATGTTGCAGTTTCATTCAGTCTAAACGTGTGGAATATCATGTAGTTCACTACAGAGTATAAGGTGCCATGTGAGAAAAATATAATTCAGTTTTATTTTTGGTCGCAGTGGAATGTAACTAGGTACATTTACTCAAGTTAAATGCAAATTGAAGGCACTTGTACTTTACTTGAGTATCTGAATTTTTTGCAGCTTTATACTTCTACTCCATCTCACAAGAAAACATTATACTTTTTACTCCACCACATGTGTCTGACATCTGTACTTACTTTTCAGAATAGAGTTTTTGATAGCCTTCCTGTCCACTGAAAACCATGTATCTCCAAATTAAGGGATTCTGTATGTGGTTTTTGTAAACCAAAGGATTAACTGCTCTTTAATGGGTTGAGAAAATGTTCCTCCTTGTTTCTCCTGACTTTTTAGACATGTGTGGTTCTCACAGGACAGCGACGCTCATGATGATCTAGTAGAATATGATGCATGATTAAAAGTTAAAGTTAAACTACCTTAAAAAACATTTAATAGTTAAAATGAGCACAGCCTTTAACATCTACAGCAGTAAAATGCAGCATACACACTAATGTAGCAGTAACATTGATTCAAAAACACCACATATAAGTTTTTTTACTTTGGATTCTTTAAGTAAATTTTGCTGATAATAATTACACACTTTTACTTAAGTAGGTTTTTGAATGTAGGACTTTCACTTAGAGTATTTGCTGGTTTAACTTAACTAAAGGATCTTAGTACTTCTTCCACCACTGCATTTTAGCCTCATTTGGCAGTGAACTGGCACAGCCGGTTGAGTCTATATGGCTTGGCAGTTATGTGTAATTGTAGTTTTGGTTGAATTCTGGGACTCTGGCTGACTGACCAGCCACACTGGACTGTCGCTCATATGTAGGTCACGTTGGGGATTCCAATCTTAGACAGAGAATTTCCTGGAAATGGTTTAACTAAAGAGATTTTAATAGGATTGGTTTGGTGTGCTGTGTTGTACTTAAACATTTATTATAATTGCCACACAAACAGACAGAAGTGATAAATTTATTTTTTATCATCCAGATTTTAAGACTTACAGCAGCTTTAGCAAAGAGCAGACCTTGTGTGTGTGTGTTTGTGCGTGTGTGTGAATTATATCCAGAGGAGACGCAGCTGAGCACTTACCCATAAACAGTGAGCGCAAATTGCAGCGAGAGAGATGTACAGTAGAGGAATTCAGCAGAGACAGCTACTCAGTGATAATATTGGTGTATGTCTAGTAGCTTGACCACACAGTCCCCTGACCCCGGAGGAGCTGCATGCTGTTAGTGAAAACAGATGTTTCTCTAATTGTGTAGCTCAAGTACACAAAAGTATAACACAGTTTCCAGGCTGGCACGCTTAGTTAAACTTAAAGTAAAGTAATGGATGCATATAGTTCAGTATATAGTTCAGCAAATAATTTGTGAGTGAAATGAGGCAAACACATTAGAAGGAATTAAATCTGCATGAAACAGCAGGTATTTCAAACACTTCGTGGATATTTATCAGATCAACAATCACAAAACTGTCTCGTGTAGTATAATCAGATCCTCAGGCAGAGCTCCACTGGCTGTTTCTAAGAGCTGATTCAAGACGAGAGTAAACAAACTTTTGCAGTCAGGGCCCCTCAGCTCTGAACGGGGCCTTAAGATCTGAGGCTGCAGAACAGTGACATCTTTTCCTCAAAATGTATCTTGTTTTTATCTTATATTATTGTCAGGTATTCATATTACTTTAATGGTCTGATTTTATGTTATTGCAGTCCTGAATGTGCTGAAACGTTTTAATCCTGTTTCAACCACGTAAAGCACTTTGTAGCTCAACACACACACAGAAGTGGGAATAATCCTCCTTCTCTGCTGCATTAATCAAACAGCATTGTGCATAGATAATAGCTTAAATTATATTTGTAATGTCCTTTTATAGGTAGAAAACATCAGAACACTGAGGATCATCTTTTTATGTAATTAAGGAGAAAATTGTGTAGCTATTTCTTCACTATCAGTGTACTTTAACAGAGAACATTTAGGGTCAGTGAATATATGTGTTTTGTGCATCTTGTATTTTTTTTGTAATACAATATTTTCAGTTAAAAAAAGTACACCTATACATATGTGTCTTGAGTAAAAAGGAATGTGATGATAATTTATAGCAAAGTTACTAAAGCAAATCTACTGTACGAGTATAATCAAACCTGATTATTTAAAAGATGGAAAAAAAAATCAGTATTTAAGACTGAAAAAAAAATAAATAAATAAATATTTTAACCTCACAAGCCGGGAAGAAGAAGAGTGAATGTTAAATCTGCTCCAAGCCCTGACAGAGAACAAGATATTTCACATTATAAAAGTCTAGCAAAAGTAAAACTGTATGTAACGAGACACCATCCATTGTTTAAAGGAAAACACCACCTCAAATAAGAATTCCAATATGTTATTTCCACTTTATAGGAAAGTTCCATCAATATCTGTAAACATGAGCTACTCTCTCTCAAAGCCAGAAACCAGAGAGGTAAGTCCCAAACTTCTGATGTCACAGAGTATAAAGTCTGGAGCTGCTCCATAGACAATGAATGAGACTCTGATTTTGTTTGCTTTCTTTTTTAAACCCAACTGAACTTTAATCTGTTGTGGTGTGCTCATCCCTGAAACAGAAAATGTACTCATATAAACCAAATCACAATGTTTATTTAAAACAGCTTCCGGGCAGAAAATTCTCATGTTGTGTCCATTAAATCAAACGGCGCTGAGCAGACGCTGCCTCAATTAGTTTGTTTTAGCCACCTAAAAAGGCCCACCAAAAAAACAATTTATCTGTTTAGGTGTATGCTATATTCAGAATATTTTATTTTCACTTCTTTACCAGATAGTGCTTGCCAACAGGGAATTGAAGCCCTTATATTGTAGTTACCAGACTCCATTGATGAAAACATTCATTTTATTGAGCAGAAAACTGAGTTGCTGGTCTACCACGGTGTTGATTGCGCACTGCACAGCAAATATTTAAATATAGCGTCCGTGCAAACAGATTTGGTTTATCAAAGTTGATATCAAAGCAACAAAGTACATCAAATAAGTACAACAGAAATGACAGATAGGTCAGACCACTGTGTTTAACTATATCTTTAGTTGTTACAGTTATGTCTGAAAATGACAACAGTAATAAACAAGTTGGCAGATTTTATGTATCTCCGCAACTAAAATCAACAGCCAGTTTTCTACCTGGAAGTGATTGCTGTTGTTAACATGACGTCAAGATGATGTGGTCTATAGTCAGAACACTCCACTGGGTGCTCTTAGTGTCATCTAGAACATCTTTCACCATTCATTGTCTATGAAGCAGCTCAAGACGTTATACCCTATGACATCACAAGTTTGAGTTCTAGCTCCTATCGCCAAGATTTGTGAGAGAATTGTTCATGTTTACGAATATTTCTGGACTATCTTTGACCATAGGATTAACATGTATGAATTTTAAGAAATGGGCGTAGTTCTCCTTTAAACTGGAATGAAACTATCTATTGAAAAAGAGATCTTGATTTTGATGTGACTAGCTAACTGAATAATAACTTTATCTTAATTAACACTTATAGATAAGTACATATACAGTATATTGTATAGAAAGTATAGCACCTCACATAGCAGTGTGCTGCATCCCCTGGGTTGGACTTGAGTTTTTTTGTTGTATTGTTTAGGCCTCCACAAACCCTGAGCAATGCTGACAATATTTTTTTTTCTCTAAAATGAAAGGATGATCCTTTAAACTTTTAATGCTATTAAAATGTCACCATCCATTTTATCAGGATTTATTCAAGAGAAATTCAGAAAGTCAGTAAACATGGATTATCACCAGTAAAACTTAGACATGTCTTACGATCCAGCAGCTCTCTGTGGTGTGTGTCAGCTCAGACAGTTGCCCCTTTACACTGTATTTAAGCCAAGTAAGAGGCTGCAGCAGGAAGTCATTAAAAATATTGGAGGGTTAGGATATCACAATTATGGATAATAGGAAGGAAATTTTTAGTCTGAGTAATACATGTAAATGTAATGAGTCCAAAGTGTATTTTGTATCTGTTACATGGGGGGTTATTAGCTGTTGCCTTTGTTGATCTGTGCCCTCAGAGTGCCGTACGGATATTGACATGCATATTTTTAACATTTATTGTGGTTTGATTACAGACCACATAATTATCTGTCACTATTCATCACTCCAACTTTAAATATTTAACCATCTATATTCACATCTGTATTCACAGCCCTGATCTGTGGTCTCACACTACCAAGACTAGACTTTAGTTGAAAGTATAAAGAAGTCTAATTTTAGGTTTCAGAATTTAATATGAGTGAAATCAGTCTGAAATCAAATGTAAGATAGTCTTGATTCTTTTATGATATTATATTTACTAATACTATAAGATTATTTAGCAGAATTATTAATGTCACCTAAAATCATTCAGGACACAAGGCTCTACAGTGAAGCCTCATCCTTGTCTCTTTTACAGCAAACCTTGGTATCTACGTTGCACGTCATTGAGCCAACGTTATGTCTGAGCCTTTTCCAATCTCTCTGTGTTCAAGGCTGAAAGAGGGCACCCATCGTGCCCCCCACCCCCAGCACTTTGCCACAGTGTTGGCGCTGAAATCTTTCCCACACCATTCTCTGTCATCACACTCTCTAGCCTCCTTACACTGCACTCTTAGAAGCCGTAGCACGGTTCCGGGGAGTGAACAGTAACTGATCTGTGGCTACAGTTTGGACAGTTTTTAACAAGGAAAAGGCAATTACTGTATGGACAGGTTGTGGTATGATCTCAAGGTTAACTTTTATTTGTCCAAAAATGGGCTATTAGCTTCACCAGATAATAAAGTCACACAAGAATACAGTCTAGTGAAAGAGCAAAACAATGGATTATAAAATACTGTGCAGGAAACCAGTTGATACATCCAAGCTGGGGAACATCAACAATCGGTTCTAATAAAAATAAATGATAATGATATGATTAAGACATAATACCAGGAAGAGAATATCAGAACCTTGTTTTCAACAGATGTGAGTTTCCTGTAGCTGTTCATGGTTTATAGAAGTTTCATATGTTTGGCTGCAGGTTTGAGACTGGCAGAGAGCACATGTTCCCCATGGAGTTCTTCTTTCCACCACAGAGGATGTGCCTGATCTGTTCAGACGAAGCATCTGGCTGCCATTACGGTGCTCTCACCTGTGGCAGCTGCAAGGTTTTTTTCAAAAGAGCTGCAGAAGGTAAATCCTAATCTGTGATTGCCGTATTTAACAGCTAAATTTGTTGCCTTTTGTCTACAGTTTGTGTACATCCATCTGACAGCTTACAAGTAACCTGTGGTTTCTCTGTCCACTCAGGAAAACAGAAATACCTGTGCGCAAGTAAAAACGACTGCACTATTGATAAGCTAAGAAGAAAGAACTGTCCATCTTGTCGGCTGAAGAAGTGTTTTGAAGCTGGAATGAGTCTGGGAGGTAAGATGGAATAACGTACTAAGATCTGCTTTTAAAAGAAACTATTATTTTATTATCTCTGCCAGGAGGGGATCATGTGTTTGGTTGTGTGCGTGGGTATGTGGGTGTGTGGGTGTGTGAGTGTGGTATCTGTCTGTCTGTTGCTAATCTCCCAAACTACTGGACCAATCAGCCTAATATTTTGTGTGAACATGTGTTACAGTATGCTCACAACCTCTTATGGCTGCAGTGATTCGCAATTGTTGAAAAAACCCTTTTTATTGACTGTTTTATACCGTCATTGCATGCTGAATTCTTTTAACTGGCCGGTCGGGGCTGCAACTTTTCCAGAAATCAGCTCGCTAAACAATAACTAGCCTGACCATCTGTTACAGGCAACATTCTAGAATTTATCATGGCTTAAAAACTGACATTCATTGAAAAGTTTGGTCATATTTTGAACCAGAGCATCTGCAGATTAATTTAATTCCTGATATGTTATGAGCCACTAAAGTTAGGCACGTTACAAGATGAACAGGGTTGGAAAGTAAAGGACTGCAAGTAACTTTGTTACGTATTTAAAATACAAAATATGTATAACTGTATTTTGTTGCAGTTGCAGTTTAAATTGGTGGTTACTGTCTTTAAAAATAGATTACTTGAAGGGATTACTTTATTTGTTTTATTTTTTTGCCTTAACACTGTTGCCTACCTAAATGCGATGGGAGTGAGTGTCAGTTTGATTGCACTGTTTTCTATTGGAATGTTCTAACTGGCCGCGAACGACACAGTGCTGCCGATTTGATCTGAACTTTAGTTGGTTGCTGTGTTTCTATTGATTCCTGTCGCTCACTTTGAAAGCTCTATGGTGGACGAGAAACAGCTAATTCATGAACTTGATATGAGGAAATATCTACTTAATACCTCCTCATTTAACCCAAATAATCACAGGGGAGCAGTGAGTTTCTGGTAAATGGCCATCGCTCGTAACAGCCTACTTGCTGATGGCTATACTGTATGTCATTTCCAGTAAATATCACAATATAAATTGTGTGTGTTTAGTACAAAGGACAAATGTAGAAAGACAGCATGTACTTGTCCATCTTTTGAATGGTTACATCTCCAGCTGAGCGCACAGCTGATAGGTAACCTGCTATTAAGACACAGTGTAAAATTCATGAGGCATGCATTTCCCATTAACAGATTTTAAAAAGAGTGTGCACCTGCCGCACCGCACAGCAAGAACACTAGTTATTTCCTACTTTCTTGTGCTGTAGCCTACAGACAAAGTTAAAGGTCTAGTGTGTAAGATTTAGGAAGATTAGCGCAGTCTAGCAGTGAGGTTCACAGATTGCAACCAGGTGAAACTTCTCAAGGTTAGAATTTCTTTAGCGTTCCATGTTTTGGAGGTTTTTACCAGAAGGCAAATTACCTCCATAGATCTTGTCTTCTCCATAATAAATGGACCTGGTGATTAAAACCTGTAAAAAACTGAATAAAGCAGTTTCCGGTTGAAAAATCTGCATTTTTTCCAATACTGTCACTGTTGAAGGTTTGCTTACTATGGTGACTGATGCAAAAACACAAATGGCCCCATGTAGACCCAGGACCCACTCCATAGGTAGATACAATCGACTCATTCTAAGGTAACAAAAACACAACAATTCTTATTTTTAGGTATTTACACACTAAAGGAAACATACCTATATTCCATTTCTGCCAATATATCCCCCGAAATCCTACACACTAGGCTTTTTATACTGTTAAAAGTCCACTTATGAATAACATGGATCAAGATTTGTGTCTGTGTTTTACTTATTAAAAATACCATCTGCTGAAATTACAGAATTTGTCTAGAGAGGCCGTGATCAGCTCGGGCAGCCAGAATGCAGATCTGCATTCTACTGATTTCACTTTTCTAGTTTTATTGCTGTGGTTAATTGTAGCGTTATGAACCTCTGAACCACATTTTCTTAGTAATACCTGCTATCATCAGTTGCATCTAATTTTAGAAAAGATGTGTGCTGCAGGAACATTCATTCAAAATAAACACATATGTGCAGTATGGACTATAATAAACATTGTGCACTACATACTGTTTGAACAAAGCACAGAGAAAGTGAAGTCCTAAAAGTGAAACTATTAATGGTTTCCCCAAGACCAAGTACTTTATTCTCTCTACACTGCACATCTTAGCTGGCTCTCTTCAATTGCAGCATCATCACAATAGGGGATGTTACTGATAATCAAGCCCCTGACTGAGCTGCCATGCAATTTAGACCTATTCCATTCACTTCTCCTTACTGTCACCCAGACCTGCTCGTCATATTAGGCTGTAAAGATTGACATGTAGTGGACTAATTTTAGTCTTGTGTTCAATTTTCACTCTCTTCCATTTTCCCATTCTGTTAACGGTGAAAATTGGAAGCACAAAGCTGACATGAGACATGTGAATTAAAGCAGCAGACATGCTGGTAATTTTGCCACCAGTCACTGACAAACCCATGGAGGGAAAATGTGATCTAATGCTGCGATTGTAAGTAAAAAGGCACACCTTTTCTAGTTGTGGCTAAAAAGAGCCTCCTTTCACTTATGTTCTTCTCATCCTGGACATGTAATTCACTCATGGCATTTCACAGGAAAATTTATCACAATCATTTGTAGAAGTGGAGGCAGAAAAATTATACGTTTGGACTTATTATCCCAAAGGGTTTTAACTCAAAAACTTTTAATTCAAGTCATAAAATTCTGAAAGGAATGAAAGTTTCTCATTTGACTAATTGGATTTTGATTAATCTCTCTCTCTCTCTCTCTCTCTCTCTCTCTCTCTCTCTCTCTCTCTCTCTTGCTCTCTCTTTTTTTTTTTTTTTTTACAAAATTGCAAATGTATTGTACCAGTAAAATTCAAAACTTTTACTATCATTATAGATGTTTCATTCCTCTTAGCTTCGACAGTCTGAAGAGAAGAAATGTAATATTGGATTCTGTGTTCATTTAGTTTAGCATCTGTTCCAGACTACAAAGCATAGTTATTATGAATTGCTTGAAGTTTTTATTTTTAAAATTTGAATTCCATTTTATTTCTGGAATGTTTATTACATCCACAAATAGAAGCCGAGCAGTGAGGCCAAACCATGAGAGCTGTTCAGGTTTTCAGCAACCTCAAGAAAACTCACTGCACCTCTGAACATAGCCTTCTCATGTTAAAATGCATTTATTTCTTATTAATTTCATCAGACTAGAAACCTTTTACAGTTTCCAGCCTCTACCCCTGGCTTTCACGAGACTTCCAGAACAAATTTTGTCCCAAAACAACTTCAGCTTCTGTTTCACCACCAGTGAGTAAGAGTTAGTTAATGATGAATCTGGAAATCCATCGGTAAAAAAAAAAGAAGAAAAAAAGGAGGAGCCTCGGCGATCGCTCACGCCCTTCACTTCCAGCGGTGCCCCCAGGGAATCGCCGTGTTGTTTACAAATACTTAGGGTAGAAAACCAGCAGAGTTTAGCTATATATCACATTTTTCATGTCACTATTTCACCGTGTAGACTAATCTGATGTTTGTTAAGTCTATAAACACAATGATTGAACAAACGTTACTGTTTCTGTGTTTTGTAATTAAAGGTATAATATGTAGTTTTTCCACATAAAAATGTCTAAAAACGAATAAACCAATATTATATATTTTGTTTAGTTGTGTACTTTGATTATCAGAAATGTTTCCAACAATTTTTCAAACCCAGATAAATATGAAAGTTACGGACCGTGTCATTAGGTCGCACGTCAGTTACGTTGCCATTAAATGAAGGAGAAGAAGAAGAAGCAGACCGGATGAGACGTCAGAGATTGAATGTTACTGTTGCTAGGCTAAGCTAACTCGTCATGGATCATGATTATGCACTGACGGTTGCTGCACCTTCTGACACCGAAGCTGTCCCGGTAAACGTGAGCATTTCTCTGCTGCTGAAGCTCGCTCTGCCAAACAAACTGCCACGGTCGGTTTCAGTTTCACGGACTGAGGAACGTCAGATCTGTGTCTGTTATATGACTACAGCTCCCATGATCCCATGCTACTTTGATATCTTAGTTACAACATGAGTGAGCTAGCAAAGCAGTTTTGTGTTGCTATGTGTGGTATTTATTCAGTTATGGGAAATCACGATGTCTAGAAAGCAGCAGTGGCTGCAGCTGACAGGGACAGTTAGCAAAGCTAACGTCAGGACGTCATCTGTTAAAAGCCTCCCGTTGTCGGATACGACATGAAACTACTCCAGTTAGCTCAATCATGTTGTAACTAAGACATCCGGTGGAAAAAAAAAAAAATCACGTTGATGAGATGGCGTTTTTGGTGGAGCGGTCGCTATGGACGCGGAGCTTGCTGTTCCTAGGTACACATTTCCTGGGGACACCTGCACGTCCCGGCCACGCCCCCTCCATTGTGATTGGCTAAAGCGCAGCATGTTCAAACTCAAAGCCCCCCCCCTGTAGTCGTCTTTCACACAGGGCTACAATGTAAATTGCAGAATCTGTCTTGAGAGATTAGTTAATGATTAACACAAGCTGCCGTTCTGCAACTTCTCATATGAAAAAAGGCAGTGCAGTGAAGTGAGGCATTATTACACTCAGTTTGAATATATTACTTATTCATAAAAAGGTTGGTCTGTCCTTATAGGCAACCTTGTCTCCTACAACTGGCTTGTGTTCAGAGACAAAGTTTCTTTCGGGCAACGAAACACTACATTGATGTGTCACATAGGCTTTGCAAGAAGGCGCTTGGGACGATGGCAGACGTACAAAGTGCAGGACCTTGACATCTGAACCCAAGGTTCATGTGCAGACTCCTTTCTTAGGTTTAGGCAACAAAAGCACTTTGGTTAAGTTTAGAGAGAGATTGTGTTTTTAATTAAATATTAATAAAAAGGTTATAAAAATATTATTGCAGTCACTACTAGTGGATACTGTACTGAAAGATTGCCTATTTTATATGTTGTCAGTGAACATTTTGCTGATAATCATTAATGTT